TGCATAGTGTTTACGAAACTGAATATATGATCTATCTCCCCAGTGTGTTTATAGTTACCACTTCCTAGTCGTGCTCGTGCACCGGAAGTTCGTTTTCAATTTGCCTGAGTCAAATCACGCTTTGTAAAGTGCTACCCGCTGGACTGTTTTGCAAATTTATCCTCTGTTTTTGGGTACTGGTACTGGGAAGACAGTGACTTTTAAATGTCAGCTAATTCGGACTTCTTAATTTACGGGAACAATTGGTGTAACCCATTCAAAATTACTTGTTTTTTGTAATAATCAGTCTAATTAATTTTCAACTTTATTTCACAGGACATAAGCTTGCTTTATTTATTTTGGTTGACTGAATACTTTGAAGCTACATTTTGCCGTTTTTCCCTTCACTTCACCAAGTGTATCGTAAAAACAACTTTGAGTTTGTTTAGTGCGATATCAGCCTCGAAGAGTGCTTTGGAATCATCTTGTCTACAATCGACTCAATACCATTCCAGTCCAACGGAATTTCTTTTAGCTATTCTCTCTTTTCGACTACGTACAGTTTTAACTTGTACATTTTTTCTGTATTTAACATTTACAGTAATCTCGCAAAGTGACTTCAAATCATCTGCAGGGTATTTTTTTAATGATCAATCAATTTTTATTTTATTTTTTTCAATTTGAAAGAACTTGACAAAATCCTTATTGTCTATCATTGAAACAACAGACCCAATGTGAAATTCCGTTCTCAGGTTTACACCTTCCACCTGGAGTTCTACAGAGATTGCTTTGTATTATTTGCTTATAATGTTCTAACTATCACTTAACCGTCTGAACATGTATAAGACCCAGTTTCTTCCCAATTAAAATGTAAGGATTTACTATTTTGATTTGTAAATTGTCGTTATAAATTCAATGTGGTTCTTTATGCTTTTTATTTTTTTAAATGTCTGTGATGTTTATACCGTTAACAGCCTTGTCTTTATTTTGTCATAAAAAAACTTTTCTGAATTTCACATTCGGTCAAGTGTCTGGGTAAGAAAATTTACATGACCGACGATTTAGGAATTTAGTGATGTTTTAGAGTTAGATAAATGCCAATTACAATACTAGTATACTATTGCGTGATACAAAATAACTTGATATGGCTTATTAACATATTTTATGGGAGTAACATGACGGGTGTCACATTTGGAGCACGATCTGCTTTGCAACTGAGATCACCTCTAGTTTTTGGTGGGTTTGTGTTGCTCAGTCTTTAGTTTTCTATATTACATTTCGTGTACTGTTGTTTGTCTTTTGATCCATTTTGTTTTTGCCAAGTCATTGTCAGCTTGTTTTCGACTTATGAAGTTGAATATCCCTTTGTTATCCTTCGCCTCTCTCTTAACTATGTGTCTCTTCTTATTGCAACCATGGCAATTCGCCCCTTTAAGCTGCTGTTTTCTATGTTGTGTCATCTGTACCATTATTTGTCTGTTTGTCTTTTTATTTTGGGCCATATCGTTGTCAGTTTGTTTTCGATCTATGAGTTTGACTGTTCCTCTGGTATCTTTCGTCCCTCTTTTCTGTTGATTATTTCCAATTGCAGCGGTAACACGATCTGGGGTTACTTGCATTGTTCTGTGTTAAACATTTTCTTTTGTACGCTTTGATTGCATGTGCCTATTCAACTTGGATACTCTCTTACAGTTCCGAAGAATCTTTCGCAGCAGTTTAAATTGCTACTGCAATTTTAAAAGTTTTTTCATACGTCAAATATGTGTTAATAGTTTTATTTGGGTTTGGACATTTTGAGACTACACACAATTTTGTCTTAATTTTTCGTTTAACCATGAATTGAATTCACAATATTTTGGACAGTGTTCGCAGTTGTCGAACATATTCATGAAAGGTATCATCTCTGTTTTGGCCGTTTTTTAAACCATTATCGTTGGGCAATGATCAAGGATTTGGCCGATAAATATTTATTTGATAACTGAACAAGTGCATTGTACGTATTTGCGAATGGTTTATCAGCAAATTTGATATCTCTTAGCAATAATAGTTCTTCCCTCGATCAAACTATGAAGTGATGCAACCTATTTGGTATTATCTATGTCGATTGCTTCAAAATATTGGTCAAATCGCTCTTCGAATAATGACCACGGTCTGCCAATTAAACCGGATGGTGCCATTATAGTTGAAATGTTTTTCTCAGATATTGACAAATCGAGCCTTTCGATTCTGCTTTCGATCAGAACTTTCGTTTTTAATTGTTAATGCTGAATTTACTTTATGTTCATGCAATATTCCTTCATGGTTTTGCATATATTACGGTGTTCATCCACTGCTTGTCACCAGTTGTAACGTTTGGGCCTGGATGGACAGCAGACATTTTGTTTAGATTTCCAATGAACTTCTTTAAATATAATGATGCAAACCATTAACGAAAGATTGTCATACGCGTGTCGGGACTAGTAAGAGGGTCAATTACGGAACGTAATAGAACTATGAAAACATAACAGATTTGTTTCAATAGTCGTAAGCAAAATCTCGCAAATTTTTTTTCCACAATTATGACAATACAAAATGTGACTTATCACCGATTAATTTTATTTTCCATGATCAGCACGACAGGTGCCACTATTGGAGTATAAATTAACATGTGAGTCACTTCCCCTGGATTTTGGAGATTTCCTTGTTGCTCAAGCTTTTGTTTTCTGTGTTGTTTTTATAAACAGTTATTTGTATTTTCGTTCTTTTATTTCTAGTAATGTGACTCTTTTTCTTCGACCTATGGTATCTGATTGGTATCTTTTCAGTCTGTTTATTCTTTAAGTTATTTTCTGTGTTGAAATATTGAAATATAAAATTCTATCCATCACTGTATAAGTATTTATCAAAATAAATGTACCTTGACGAAGATTTAGTTTTTATTATACTCTTAACCTGACCTCTTGCTATTTCATATGAACGGAAACACGATAGTTATAGCTTTGTTTTTTGAAAATTTTGCCTCGAGCATAACTGAATAAACATTTATTGTCGAAATGCGCATATGTGCAGTAACATTGGTACCATTAATGTTATTATCAAGTAGGTACTCTTACAGAATTGCGTGCACGTTAAACATGAAATTACTTCTTCTACAGGACAATATCAATACAGTTCAAGATACCTGGTATCTATGAACTTTTAAGTAAAGTCACCCTATGTCTTTCGAAAAGGGTATTTTTTTCCAAAATGAGTCCGGATTTTTTAAGAGACGACCAGTCCATAGGAGTTGTTATGGTTATACTAAAATATTTTTGTTTTCTAAACTTTTGATGTCGAGTTGATTCAAATGTGGAGTGTACACCAAAATCGGTATTGAGTATGCGCTAGCATGAGACCAACGAGGCTGTATATAAAAACATAATCAAAACAGATTGTCTTAATTTAGTTCACCAATGAGTAGGTTAGACTTGCTTTCCTCGGCTGCGTGATAGGTCACTCATTCTGATTCAATTAACCGTTGACTCTTCAGACATTCCATTACATTTGAAATCAAACATCACCAGTTTATCGCTTTTTGAACTGTTACTCAAAAAAATCTTAAACTATAAATGTAATTTTTTTTAAGTTTTAGAAAAAAATAAATGTTTAGCGCAGGACAGCATAAGGTGTTGTCGTTTACAGGTACGATCGTTTGTGTGAAGTGTGTTTTGTTTTGTTTTGTTCAGTTGGAACTAAAACAATTGGTTACGACTTCAAAATCTCTATTGTAATAGCTTAAACAAGAACAAAAAATCATAATGAGGTATTTCAAACATGTTTCTATTATTCTTCATTTGATATTATAATTAAAATATTGTTATTCTTCCCACGGATGTTTAGCCGGATGTCCTTAGTGAATGAGTCATACCAAATTAGACCATTACAAAATTAGAAAAAAAGCATCTAGGATTTTGACAGAGCCAATTTCTAGATTTCCCTTGTGTTTTGAAAGGCATTTTTCTTTTTAATATCTATAACAATTTATGGAAACTGTCAATTTTATGAAATCAACACAAAACTGAAACCGTATTAGTTCCTTATATTTATTACGTACTTTTCATTAAAAGTTCGTGTGATATTTAGCGTAGCATTTATCATGTTTATGACTTTCCCTAATGTTCAACGGTAGGTTTTCAAGAATAGGCAATAACAAATGTTCAAAATTTTAATGTATACCATCTTAAATAAAATCAATATGGATATATAATATACAATCTAATAATGCAATTTTCGTGACATTCCCCCTACACGAGGCATCGATCAGACGTAATTGCATAAAATGTTCGAAAGCATAGGCTAAGCGTTTTAGCCTCCGGCACAACCATATGGACTACGAGCATTGCAAGAAGAAAATCGAAGAGAATATGATATTTTTTTGAAAATGCTGTTTATTTTTTTAAAATGTGTACCTTTTTTTAATAACGTGTTTTCAGTTTTTCAGCGCTGCTGGTGGACTATTAGTTCCCGAGGGTATCATCAGCTCAGTAGTCAGTACTTCGGTGCTCACATGGTTTATGACAAACCTTTCTTAAATTGTCCGTTTATAAATTTTGAAATTATTAAGAAACTAAGGTTTCTACTCCCTCAGGCAAAGTTTACCTTGGATGGATTTGGCTGGGTTTCTTTTCTTTTATTTTGAGAGGGGAACGTCAAATAGCTCTTCAACTGTTTTGTTCTTATACATCATCGGCTTTCAAATTTTCGGCTTTGAGCGTTCCTGATGAAGGTTTATCCAGAAAAACGCTTCGGACACAAGAAATTCATAATGTGCTGTTTTCATTTTTTTGTTGTCTGCTAAGATAATACTAAAAGAAAGAATAATCGATGAGCTACTGCTTAAACACACTGTTATAACATTTCACATATGTCTTATTTGTCAGTATAGTCGTGGTTCGTCTACAGTTTTTTTGTTTTATGTTGTTTGTTTTCAGGCGTGTTTACTGTTTGGTCTTACATGATCTTGCCCCGATATGTATGCAAAAGTTAAGATAAAAAATCAGCTATTTCATTTATATCATTTTTAATTTTAAAGCAGCTATATGCACAGGATTTTTTTGTTCATACACAGTTTTGTTTTAGAAGAAAAACCGATATGGTTAGAAAATACAAATATTAACACTTTTACAAACACAATTCCATTTTAATATTCTTGTCATGGTTTGAAAATACATAAAATAACACCATTTCAAACTCAATCCAAATTTAATATTCTTTAACGTGTCAATAAAACAAATCTATTTCATTTTTTAGAAATTTACCTGTGATAATATAAACGTCACATAAAATACGTTACTTTTTGTTGCGTTGATCCATTCATGTGACGCGCAGTTTATACTTCGTTTGTGGTGTCCTAGTGTGCTGTCGTAAATTCATTGAAGGTGTCCGTTGTTATTCTGCGGTTTACATGTTGTAATGTACTATTATATTATTTATTTATGTATTTCTCTGTGCTGAGTGTTCCTGCGTTTGTTTGTACTGTATTCCTGTCACGTAGTGTTGTAATTTTAGCGGTATTTTTAACATTGCCATATAAGTGGGAGGTTTGGCTAGCCATAAAACCAGATTCAACCTACCATTTTGTCTTTAAATGTCCTGTACCAAGTCAGGAATATGGCAGTTGTTATCAAATAGTCCGTTTCTATGTATGTTGGCGTTTGTTTTTGTTGCAGTTCAGTATTTCTGTTGTTCCGTTGTTTTCCTCTTATAGTTGATGTGTTTCCCTCGGTTTTAGTTTGTAACCCGAATTTGTTTTCGCTTAATCGATTTATGATCATTGGACAGCGGTATACTACTGTTGCCTTTATCTATTCATATGAAGAATAAGGAAATATTAAAAACGTGCGATATTGGGGAAAATTTGAATATTTTTCATACCTTTCTATTTTCATATTTACTAAGTAACACTTTCAGGTTTGCAGCATCCAAGTAGTATTATTTTGCATAATTAAGCACATGATAAAAGCTACAAAACTGCGTCGCAGATTTCTAATATCATGTCTTTTTGTAGAATAATGGCTGGATCTTGTTTTGTTCGATTAACCTTATAGATCCAAAATATTCAAATTTTTAACTGGACCTGATATAAAATTTGAGACACGGTTTTGTAGCATACATTTAGTATCTCTTAAACTGACAACGCTAATTTTCTTATACAAATGGTATTGATTTTCTTCCAAATATAGTCATTTAGAAACATGCAGGTCAGGTGGTTTTACCAAATTCTCTTGAATGCTTCTTCACCTTGACTATATCTCCTTCAAAACGATACTGCATATGTTATAATATCTTTTAAAATAGCAAAGTTATAGCTATTTCAATATGATCATCGCAAATCTGCAAGAAGTAGACTGGTGTGCTACCTTAAATAGAATCATCTGTAGAAAGAAAAGTAACTCAACAAAAACCAAATAATTAGAAAATTATTACCTTAAATCTGCACAAAAATATGATATAGAGTATATGTCAATAAGGGGGTGAATTTTTTTGCAAAGATACAAAAGGCATTGTTTTCACGCGAGAAATGTATTGAACCAAAAACAAAGGAAATGTTTAGGCCAAGTCGACAAGTACTGGACAAAAGACATGGTGTTTGTATTGTGCGTTTGATATATGACCTTATATAATATCCAACTCGATTGTTCTGATCATTCCCATACTGACTTCAAACAAACGGGACAGCTGCATTTAAAGCAATAACGTTTCAGTTTGACCATTTTAACATTTCCTTTTCTGTATTTTGTCTTCGTCGACTTGGAATTATGATTATTTATAGATGTCTTTTTTGGTTATTACTGTTGCTGGGTCTCATTGGCTTATACCAGACACCCCTTATTAATAATCTACAGCAATTAAAACCATAGCTACTGTCCATTAAATACATAGTTATTTCTACAACGAAACTCGTTAAAAATTACGGGCCGCGATTGAAGTTCACTGAAAACATCAACGTAGATTTTGCACCTAAACGTCCGGATTCATATGCTATTCCATGAGTTAAATTTTGTTAGCATGATACTTGAATATTCAATAAAATCTGAGCTTTGGTGTCTTCACTGCAAATTCAAAATTGTTCCGTGTACAAAAGTATCAAGTCCAGAGAACTATAATGATTTTAATGAAAGCTCGGGTTTCTCTTTGCAAATAAAAAATCTTAGATGAAAATTGATCTTGAGTTATTATTAAATGTTCAAATATTTTCAAAAGCAACATGTGCAAAAAATATATTTGAGGATATTTCCGTTGAATATTAGTTATTCAAACTTTTTGATGTGATATATTAATGATGTTTAAAACAATATCCCATAATCTGTATTACCAAAAAAATGTGTATATATTGTAATAATGTATATCCCAGTTGAGCTTCTGTTATTTCGCGAAATCATTGTTAACGGTAGCCAGTGACATGCACGACAAAAGTTTATAGTTCGGTAATAATAACAACATATTAGGTGCTCATGTCTAAGCTGTTATGAATCTCCTTCAAAAACTGTTTTAACCTTTTAAAAATGCCCATTGTTAAGACTTTATCAAAAAAAATCACAATGCCTTGATTTTTCATTGTGAAAATATTTTAAACAACACATGAATATAATACTGAAACGACGGATTGTTAGCCATGAGTAGCATCAGCTGTAACGTCTGCCTGAAAATGCTTTGACATTAAATAAAAACATGAAGAAAAAAAGACAACATCTGTTTATTCATTTTAATCTCCTCTGTATTCTTATACATTTAATTAATCGAATAAGATAATATGTGTCCCCCTGATCCCCATTGCTTGATGTATACTTAGTCACCTTTCTTCAGTTCTAATAACATATTTAGAGTTTTCATGTAATTGCCATTCTGACAAGGAAAAAACAGCTTCTATGTGTGTGTCATTTTTCCATAGGTATACCTTAAGGTATTTATTACGTGGTGTCATTACGGTGCATGAGAACTGGTACACCCCTGGTTTTGGAGCTGTGTATACACCTGTACTATGAAAATAATTCTTATTATTATTCGTCCAAACTTTATCAATTTTAACAATTTGTCAAACTCCCAGGATTATTTGAAAAGTAAAAGAAGCTGCAATGCTAAAAATGTCTCCTTATGTTCTCCCATACCAGTACAGGGAAAAATGATTTAAAATTCACTTATTTTTGTATAAATTTTATCTAATTTCCATTGAGTAAAGATTTATTTAAAAAAAAACTTCAGATGGTTTTGTCACAACAGCACAAATGAAAAGAAAGGAATGTACATATAAAACGTAAGAAATTTTTATGAAATCATGTGTACGTGTGTGTATTTATTTGATGCATATATATAGATATTAGTACTAACGGAAATACATACAATCATGTAGTTGTATTAGATTATGAAGACACCATGTAAGAGTGAACTTATAATTAAAGTTGAACAACACAAATAAGATATGTAAATCTTACAACAGTGTATAAAATGAATGCAATCACAAGTTCCAAATTACTTTGTTACCTCTTTAAAGGAATGATTCACATGGCATTTGGTTGAATTATATCTTGTGCTGAAAATATATATCTGTCCTGTGATTTTTTGAAACATGGTAAAACATTGAAAATGAATGTAGATTCGTGTTGTTAGGCTGGTGCTTTTAATTTTCTACAAAATACGAATTTCTAAATAAAATAATATAAATACCTGTTCCTTTTATCCTCACAAACATACTAAGAAGTTCTTTGAAATTTGCATTTACAATTTAACAAATAAGCAAATGTATGAATATGTAAACAAAATAATTTGCAATTGCAATGCATATAGTTTTCGGTCATTTGCATGGATACAAAGACGAAAGGTAGAATATATACAGATATTATTTCTGAATGTGCATGTCCACAGTACGTAGCCTGTAATTCATTGGTTGTCGTTTGATGTTGTATATCATATATGTTTTTCGTTTATTGTTACTGGTCAATATTAAATGACTGGTTGATATCGCAAACTCAACACTAATTAAACTACATATAGATAGTATCATACAAATGAGTGAATACCATGTGAGAATCATAAGATATGGTATTATAACAAATAGTTCATGAATTATATGACTTTAAAAAAAAACCAAGATTACATACTAAGTTTTAGTGTATACGATCCAGAATTACTATAGCAGCAAATACCAAGAACTACTACGATAAAACAAACAACATTAATATTGCACATTGTATAGCAACCAACAATAACAAATAGACTACTTCAAAAGTAAGAATTTCGAATACTACAAAAACAAACACGAACCTGTTTGATTACCAAATTGCGTGTTTGAATATTTAATACTGATATTTGATGATGTAAAGATATCATTTTCATAAATTTTGTGACCCTTCCTAGAATAATTAGAAAAAAACTTATGTGAAAGTCAATAGTTTTAATCAGAGTGTTTCAGAATAAAGTATTAATCTATAAAAAAAACAATCGGAGAGAACTAAATCTCGCTTATATCAAAGGATGGAGAAGATAAAAAGGAACAAATTTAAAACTATAAGTCGAAGAAAACTAGACAGCATCATGACCTAAACATATACAACTTATCAGGCAAGGTTGACCTTAGATGAATATGACTATTTTATGGAGGATCTTTTTTATCATATAGCTCTTTACGTGTTCTGTCTTATTCATACTTGTGTTTCAATTGTTTGGGTGTGAGCGTTCCAGATGGATGATAACGGTTTTGGAAGAGAAGCAAATGACGTAGGGTGTTTCCATTTATATTGAATATTTTGCCTGGATTGACTAAAGATTTGAACAAATAAGTAATGTTATAACATGTATTCCCTGATTTTCAATATTAATCTGAAAAGTCATAATATGAATACTTGCAAATTGGTATTCATTTCTATATTTTTTTGGTTATCGGATTGAAAAATTACCGATCAGATTTCAGTTTGACATTCCACTTACCTTGAATCTAGAATCGGATGTTTAATAGAAACATATTAAGGATGTACTCAGGTCATGAATTTTGTCCGATTATCGGACTTCTTGGGTTTTTTTCTTACGATACAGGGTAAAATATTTTGCCCCATATTACCCACTCTTTCATGGAAGACTTAAATAGCTCATAAAAAGGTCATTACCAAAATTTAAGCAGATTCTAGATTTTTTTCTTACGATTTGAGACCCAAATAATGCCAATGCTAAATATAAGGTAAAAGTCCGAGTAGCCTTTTCCTGCAATTTAAAAAAAAATCAAATATCGCAAAAAGGAGTTCCCAAACCCATCAATACGGTTAGCTTATTTTGTTCCTTTACTAATGCTCTTCTGACTTATAGTATCAATTTTAAATTGTAGATTTTTGTAATTTCACCTAACTACATCCTTAATACATGGTCTTTTCAACACCGGCTAGTTTTCATCCCACGAACCAATTTAGACCCTAGAATAGCCCTCAGGATTATATGAGAGTTTTATAATGATAACCGGGCGATATGGAACATATCATGTATTAATCTGTATTTGTTGTCATTTCATTTTTGACATAAGGAAAATATCCGATCGTCTCGTCTCAGTCTATTAGAAAATATTAGATATTTCAGATCTTGTTTTAGAATGCAGAACACGATCGCGACCTATCAAATACATTTTGCAAAATAAGTCAGTTAAGTTATCTCAGGAAGTAAAGTTTCATTTGGTACAACGTCAGCAAAACTACTGCAACCACCAATGACAATTAACGGTTTTTCTTGGCGGGTCATTAAATGAAAAAAGTATAACAAAAATACCGAACTCAAAGGCAAATTAAAAAAGGGGAAGTCCATAAAAACTGACAAAATCAAACGCTTTCAATCAACGAAACAAGTGAAAAACAACTGCCATATACCTGACTTGGTACAGGCATTTCCTGGAAAGAATAGTGGGTTAAACCTGGTTTTATAGCTAGCTTATACTTGTATGACAGTAGTTTATAGTTCCGTTATATTGACAAATTGGGTGAGCAACCCAAACAGACATGGCATCGTATAACTTAAAAAGGTTAAAGCAGGCATACACTTGTGCTTCACATTCTAATCAGCCATTTAATTCGATTCGATTATATTGACAACCCTCTTACACGTATCAGCATGTTACACAAAAAACAACCCTTTTACAATTATTCAACATCATTGCTAACTTATTGCTAGGAACATTGCTGATCTTCTTGACATGGGCCATTTTCTTATTTTATGCTGATTGTTAAATTTCCCAGCAGATCTTAGTTGTTCTCCTGAATGAAAATAACACACTTTTTAAATTCCTTGCTGCGGCCGAAGCGCTTATCTGGATTTACCGTCATCAAGAAGTTTCAATCCAAACAAAGGCCAATAATATTTAAGACCAAAACACGTGGAGAGTTATTTGACCAAAGGGCCGTAAAATAGTCAAATTCATCTAGGGTCAACTTTGTCTAAGGGAGTTGAAAACTTAATTTCTTAATAATTTCTTAATTTATCAACGGATAATGTAAGAAAAGTTTGTTGAAAAATCATGTCAGTACCGAAGAACTGACTTCTAAGTAGGTGATACACTCGGGGACTAACATTCCACCAGCAGTGATATTGACCCAGTGCTAGTACGAGAAAATAACACGTTATTAATTTATGCGTACAAAGCGTTTTTTGCTAGTTACACGTTGGTTGCAATAATCATTGGCATTGCCAGCCGTAGGCTTTTCAAATCAGTAACAACTACTTCCAAAGTTGTTGATGACGTTTATCATGTAGAATTTGTGAAGAAAAGTTTGACTGCCAAAATATTAGTAATATTTTTCACCAAAGATCTGTGCAAAAAACAATACCTGATAACTTTAAAAATAAAACTATACTTGTCATTTCAAATACCTACAACAAACCTATTGCTTCCAATATTTTCAAGTCTTCAAATACATATATTCCTACAGATTTGTTAGCCAAAAGCCCGAAAAACCGAATTCCACAGCACATCAATCGCAAGAACTTCAGGAACTGATGGATGCAGTTGAAGACTATGCCAGAAAATAGGCAAAACGCGAGTTAGATAAACCTAAATTGGACACTTTATCTAATGGGTTAAAGCTGTTCGTTCATGCATTCAGAAGCGCATTCAAATTCTACGAAGACAATTTGCCCAAGGGTTATGACCCTTTCAAGAACCCCGGGGGTGAGGATGCTTTATAATCCCTTCATGACAAATGTACTGGTATTCGACGGTTATAAAACGAAGGTTGAATTGTCATGCCCAATGAGTCGGACGTACATATATCTATGACGTAGACATTTTCGTGAAAATGATATAGGGGCATGAATGACCTGAGGTCGATTCCGAAGGGTCGTTCTTAGAACCTGCCTCTGAGCAGGAATTAGTCCATATTTCGTTCATCGGTCATTTATTCGTTTGAAAAATAATATATAATAAAAATCTTTATCTTGAACCTTTTCTGCTAGCTATGTTTAGCTAGCTATAAAACCATGTTTAATCTACCATTTTCTACATAAGAGAGTTTGGTATTTTTGTTATTTTACTTTTTTCTGACAAACCAGAAACATATAAAATGTATTAAATGTATCTGACCAAATAGTCTTATCTTTGATATTGATTATTTATCCTATATCTAAAGTTGTATCGAATAAATACTAAGATAAGATTCAACACTTAGCTTATATAATAGTTGCTATGATGTCACAGGTATATTTTATTCAAGTACGATGGATTTGAAAGATGGACTTGTAGTGTGTTCATTTTGTCTAGTTTTAACTACGGCTTATTTCTATCACAGCATTTTTATTCTGCAGGATGAAGTTAAGCACCAGAGTTCAACGATTGATTTACTAAAAACCAATAGGGACAATACAGTTGTAAGTTGATTTTTCACAGTCTTAACAAATATAAAACGTGAGTATTGTAATCTCGTTTCACAAGTTTCTTAACCACATCTCGTTCACGCAGAAATCGGTCTCATTTGTTTAAATAACTGACACATGGACGATGTCGCTTCTGAAATAAAAAAAAAAATTCTACCCAAGGAAAAAGTAAAGTAACAAAAGAAAACGAATTTCAAGGAAAATTCAAAACGGAAAGTCCCTTAACAAATGGCAAACTCAAAAGTTCAAACACATCAAATGAATGGAATACAAAGGAAAATATTACCTTATGCATTTAACTATTATATATTTTGAACAGAAGCATGTTCGAGAAACACGTGTCATTATATGCGCTTTAGAATGAAAATAACACGTTTATAAAACTATTTCTTTTTGATCTATAGCATCAACAGTCCCTTTCCAAAATTTTTTTTTAATTACTATCTTGTAATGAAGGTGTTCTAAAGTCTTACGATAAAAAGTAAAGATCAAGTCATATGGAAAGTAAATGAAATATGTTGTCAGTTATCTCAATTAGATGTATACTTCAATTACTGTGCTGTTCGTACATTGCAGGATGAATTACAATAGCAAAAATTAAAGTTGGATGAGCTGAAGAATAAATTTTTTAATTTCATAGATGGAAATTCGGAATACAAGAACTAGTTGTATCCATCAAACACAAGATTGAATCAGGTGAACACATTATACAGTGGAAACCTATTTTGAACTAAGAGATAGTTTGTCGTCTTTAATAAACAAGGTAGAATCGACTGGGTT